TATCTCTCAACCACTCACACAACTTTTTAAACCATTCTAATAAAAATATACCATTGTGAACTATATATATATATATATATATATATATATATATATATATATATATCAATTTTAATCAGTTGGTGTCATAAGAACCATTAAGTATCATAAGCTAAAAAACTATTCAGTGGCACTTGTTAATTAGATGCTAGTGAAAAGTTAAGTATGTTTAAATAGATATTATGGAATCATTATTATAAAGAAATATGAAAAGACATAGAAGTTTCAAATGATTGCGGTGATAAAAAACAATGCCTCATATATATATATATATATATATATATATATATATATATATATATATATATATATATATAAACTTATAATACATTTCTTTATTTTAATATTCTAACATATGATCTATATTTATCTTAAAAAAGTGACGATGATAAGTGTCATGCAAGTCCATAGGAATTTTGATGATCTTAATACATTCATAATACATTGAGTTTATTAGTTACATACTAATATGACATATTATTATTTACATACTAATATGACATTACCAATCTAGATGTCATTTTTTATTATATATATCTCTATAAACTCTACAAATGTAAACTATAAAGAAATGATTATATTTTTAATATTTTATTTTTTTCATAAACTTTAATGCAATTTTTAATAAATATAATACCTATATTTAATATAAAAAATTATATATATATATATATATATATATATATATATATATATATATATATATATATATATATATATATATATATAGAGGGATAGTTCATGTGAGGAAACTTTAAAGCGAGAACAGACAAATTTCATCATTTCGATTATTTTATTTAAGGGTGAAGATAGATTAACCGGGTATAATGTGTATTCTATCGTGATTTAATTATAAAAACATATTCCACAATGATTTATATGTACATAAGGGTAATTATGTAAAAGAAGAATGTGATAAGGAAGGTAAGTCTATCAGATGTGAAATGTTCATCGATAATCACTATCATAAAAATCTCCCTTAACCTTTTCCATTCGGGTTGAAAGAATCGTCAAAAATCTTCAACAAGTTTTCCACGAAAATGTGCTTATTATGTGAAATTATATATTTGGAGTGAAATAAAGTGGATGAGGTCACAGAGCTTATGAATGATTCCACGAATGATTGGCTCAGGTAACATAAAGATTTTCTTGACTCAGGTAACATAAAGATTTTGTTTTGTTTTCTGTAGATTTTTATTTAGGATTTATTCAATTAGGGTTTTCGTGAAAAATTCCGATCAAAAATGAATTTTAAGTGAAGTTATTAGCATATGAATTTTATTTGGATTTTCGAATATCATGTTAGGAGATGAAGATTATTTTGGTTTTTGAAATTTAGTTTGTCGATTATAGACAGATTCTATAGTGAATGGATATGCATGCGTAGGATTTAATTTGGAAATTATGGGTTGTTTGTTATTTTTTTGGTTAAATTTAAGTTGCTGAGTAACAAGTAGGTATATGATATGCTATTATTTTTTGAATGTATGTGATGTGCATCAACGTACCTATTTAGTTTTAAATTTATAGCCTTACAAACTTTTACTAACTATGCACCTATAGTCAGTGTACCTAGTCATATTATAGTATAGCTCAGGTAAGTCCGGTGTTGATCATAGGGAGAGAAATTCAATTAAATTAATAAACTACTTCTAATTAAACTAAGGAAAAACTATGAGTTGGGGGGTTTTTACTGATTTTTCAAGATCGGAATAACTTAATATCACCTAACAAGTAAGCAAATAACAAAAACAAAGTAACTTCAAGAATCGAAAGAATACTTCTGCCTAGATCTGATTTCACCTTCTCGTATGGTTGATTTCTATTAGATAGATTATTTTGATTACCAATTATCTAGCTATTATGATCAAATAACTAAGCCTACTAATTTATGAATGACAAAGCAATGGTCTTTGCACAGGTTAAACACCAAATTGATAATAGCACAATTGGAGAATGAATGATATTAGTTACTCTCCTATTATCAAGTTAAGCAACCGAAGGCTAATTAAGTCTAATTATTCTCTCTAACACAGTTAAAGTTACTAGATTTAGTTATTCAAACTAAGATGTGATTCATCGTAGCTCTAATTATTTAATGATCATAAACAATTAGCAGATAGATTCATGCAATTAATATGGTTAGTTAACACACAAAATCTTATTTATAAGCAATATAAACTAGAACCTAAACATGCAAGGTTTCATATATATCAAACACAAGTAAAACGAAATGTAACCATCCAATATCAAATCAACATATATGGATCAAGTTCATATTCACCAAACAGAAGTAAAAGGTGCTTAGCCTCTCATTGTAGCAGAAAACCACATTATATCTAAGTAAAAAAAGCTAGACATAAGTTTATTAAGCAAACCAACTAGATCAATGATGAATTCTTCTAAATCGTTTTCAATTCTTGAGATTCTCTTCAATTTCGATCTTCCTCTGGGTTTCTAAGGGTTATTAGTCGCAAATCACCTCAGAAAACCGAACACAACTCTCCGATTTCGACCTAATGACCGGGTTTTATAATTGTTGAAATCTGACCACCACGTCACGGTTGATCGCCACCACAACATGGTCCTCGTGTTAATCTCGTGTCTGCCAAGTCAACATATGGGTCGCGAATAATCCAATAACCACGTCGTGGTAAGATCACCACGATGTGCTCTTCAGTCTCCTTCTTTTCTCTTTTTTTTAAGCTTCCGTTTCATGCTTCCAACTCCTCGTATGTTCCCTTTTTATCCCGAGCAAGTCTTTGCCACTACAAAAGATAATTTAAACATATTAAGTATCTTTTGTTACATATTAAGCATAATTGTTGCTAAAAGTACTAGAAATATGCATTAAATATGTTGTCAATTATGCACACATCAACATGTGTTGGTGAATGTATATATATGCGAAGATTTAAGTTGGTATTTGGGGTTTTGTGAAAAATAATTTTAATTTGAAGTTGTTGAGTAAAACGTTTTTTTACTATGAATGTAAGAGTATATGTTATTGTGATTATGAATTTGTGGTATATGAGACAATATTTTGTATTGAAGGGCAATATATTATGTATTTAATTAATATGTTTCTAATAAAGTTGTTGATTAACATCCATTTGATGGTCTAATCTAAAAGAATATGAAGGATGTGAACATTTGAGTACGAAGAACATTACATTCCAGATTGAATTAATTTTTATAATGAATAAGATAGTTAACAATTAAATTGTTATTTGTTGTGCAAAAGAATATAACTTCATCACAGAATATAACCAACATATAACTTCAACACCGAATATAAGGTACATATAACTTCAACACAAAATATATTGGAGTCCATAGTATGTTGTAAATGTAGTTTCGTACATGGTAATAATATATTCTTTATATTGAATTATCTAAACTTCTATTGTTTTATTCTAATATTGTTTATATATGAATTTAAGTAATCTATGATGAATTATAATTCTTGAATTATTTTAATATGTATGATTGATTATGATAACTTTGTACAGGTTCATCAAGTGTTAGTGTAATTGAAAGAAATAATGTGATGATGAATGTAGGGAATCAAGGGAAATGTTTTAGGGGATGGAAACTGAAATTACCAAAGAAGATGAATAATCAAAGAACAAAGTAGAATGACACCAATGATGATGATTTTTTTGAGAAACAAAGAAGGTCGATACTGAAAAAAATGATAACAAAATCAAAAGGAAAAGGTTGCAAAAGATTGTCATGGATGAAAAGGTAAATATGAAAGGGAAAAAAGTAATTGGATGTGAGGAAAAATGTAAACAAATGAAGGTAGGAACAGACTACCAGAGGTTAAGTCGCATGTCTCCAAGTTCGTTGTATCTAGCAATTAAAAGTTTGTCAACCAGTCAGAGAGAAAAGGTACAAAAAATGGGTTTTGGATCTTTTATTGGTATAAAGCTTGATACATTACCAGGTATTCTAGCATATTTTGTTGTAGATAGCTTCATAATTAGTTCGTGCTTTATAATGGTCAGAAGTGGTGAAGCGACCATAACAAACGGTATGGTTGAAGCTATGTTTGGAATTTTGTATAAGGTTTGGATTTTAAGACACTGGAAGAATGTGATAAGAATGATTCATTGCTTGAGACATGGAAAGGACAATATGGAAGAAGAAATTATTACAATGGACATTATTTGAAGAATATAAGAAAATCAGGGGATGATGATTAGATGCTTAAGCTAAATTTATTGACTTTATCCATTAATACCTTTTCTGAAATAGAGACAATGGGGTCTTGTAGAATTAATTTTATTGAAAAGTTAATTAAATGCAGTCATGTACCAAGTATTAACTGGTGTGAGTACATAGTCGATTGTTTAGAAAAAACAAAAACAAGAATAAGTGGACGCCAACCAACAAGAACTGCTACTTCACAGGACTTCTTGCGTTTCTAATGGTATGATTTTAAATATTAGTTTCATGTGTTAATATAACTATAACATTGCATTTTAATGGTAAATATGTAATGTAATTGTACAACTAGCGTATGCTGATAGAGTCATATGTGAAGATGTACATCTGTAAAGGTATAGGCCATTCATTGCATAAATTGATTCAGAGCACCTAAGAGTTTTGGAGGATTATGAAGTAAGCAAGGGGATCTTTGGAAATCTATGTTTAAGGGAGAATGTTAAAGGTATTTATTATGATGAGTTGAGGAATCAATATGAATCTATAAATAGATCAGTTGAGGTAAAAATATTATATAATAACTTTAGTAGTTACTTTGTTGTTGGTATATAAGTGAATGGTAGGTATAATGAATTATAAATTAGTAGACTGTTAAGTTAACATTTCAGCCATATAAATTGCAGGTGAGTTATGGAATTATTGAAAATATGATAAGAAGGTTGCTTGAGCAGAAGAAGGTTATAGAAGCAAGTAGTCTGATGTACATATAAATACATCTGAGTGATGATAAAATGAAGTCGATGGTCAGGAAGGTGGTTGATGCTTTTAATGGAACAAGATTAAAAGCATTATTAGGGGACGAGCATGAAGATAGAATGGATGTTGATATTGTGAGTGGGCATGCAATGGAAGGAGAAAAAGCAGATGAGGAGATGAACCAAATGCTTACTGAGGTGACCAAAACGATGGGGAAGGATTTACTTAGTGTAGAAAAGCATAATTCTGTAATGAATGGCGATGGTACTACAAACGCAAAGCTGAGAATGGAGAGCATGTCCCCAAAAATCCTGAAGCCACCTCGTATGTGCAATAGTAAGGGACAGGTTGAGGACCAGTGTGGTTTAAATGATAAGTATGTGGGAATGGAAGTTGTAGTGTATAATGGGAATTCAGGTTTTATTTCTCTGTGTACTTTAATACCTAGTTAGATAAATCAAGCTGATGAAATAGAAAGGAACAACTCAAAAAAGAGGATTAACTTTAACACTGATAGTCCATCATTTGATTTGATACTTGATAAATGTGTAGATGAGCTGAAATATTCGAAAGGGATTGATGTTAAAGTTTATGTAGTTGTTAAAAAAACAAAAGAAGTGAAACAGGAAGGTCAGCAGGTGACAAAGAGAACTCATGCACCTGTAGTAAGGATTAACATAAGAGAAAAAATAGAGATGAATCATGGACCTAAATTGAAGTCATATTTTGTACAAAGAGTTGTTGACTTGACAAACACAGTCAAGCAAAAAGAACTTCTTGTTGCGCAAGCGATTATCAGATTCGGATTACATAAGAGGTATTGTTGAATATTTTTAATTATGTGTTTTTATGAATAATATAGTGTAAAAATCTAATGTATAAAACTTTGACAAATGTAGGGAATTTGTATGGGAAACAAAAGAAGGTTTAGAGTGCATCTAGAAGATGCTAGAACTATTGCAAAAAACATTAATATTCATGCAAATGTAATTGAATGTTGGAGTGTTCTACTCAACAAATTAGAAGAGAGTAAGTCAGAGTCTTCATATTCAAGACTTTACTTTACAACAGACACACTGGTATGTTAAGTTATTTGGACATAATACTATACTTTGTTATATGTTATAGTAATTAACGTGTTGTTTAAATATACAAACAACATGAATCGATGTTCGAGGAAAGCATGCAGGAAGATATAAAATATAATGAGTTTGAAGTGATCATTAAATCATCAATTGAATACCTTACAAATGATGATGAACTAAAAATGTTGATTTGGTAATTAAAGTATGAAATGGTTATATTTTAAATAAAATGTTATAGGTTTCTTCCCCATTGTTGAAGGGAATTACTACCTGATATGTTTTAACCTGAGAAGTTTTTCGATTCTGATAATTGATCACAAGAGAGTTGTAGGAACAGTTGAGTACGTCTATGGGAACATACCCCATGCTGGTAAATATGAATTTTAAAATATTCATATACTGATGTGTTTATGTACTTATGTATTTGGTTGATACAATTTGTTTTATATAATTGTCGAATGTCATTACCGTTTTGTTTGCAGCAAAGGTTTTTCTGTCGTTTTCTAAATAAAGTCTATCAGAAGAAGGTGAGGACACTGATGAAAAGGAATGTGGTGATGTTGAACAAGAAGTGTCAGGCATACAACCGTCTGGATGATGTTGGAATTTACCTTATGCGACACATGAAAACTTGTATGAGGGATCAATCATCAAAGTGGGATTGTGGGCTAGCTGTGGATTGGAAAACACAATATATGTATTTATAAAAGTTAAGGTAAAAGTATTTGGTGAGGTTGATTTTTTCTGAACATAATATTTTGAATGGTGAATTTGAAAAGGATTATGGGAAGTTTGTTATGTTGGATAAGATTACAAGGATAAAAATAATTCACGGAAATCTGAAAGTAATCTTTGAAGTAACTAGTGAGCTAAAGTTGATGGTGAAGGTAGTCTTTTGTTTAGGTTTAATGATTGTTATGTTTGATAGAAGTCTTTTGTTTTGGTTTAATGGTAGGATTTTGGTTAGATTTAATGTTTGATATGTTTAATGTCGGTTGACATTTTTTTATGGTCTTTTGAACTTATTATTTATATTACTAGTTATGTTGGATAAGTTTTTGGTTGAATAATTAAATATTATGGATTTATTATGGTTAATATTTTTAAATGCATAAAATATGTTATGTTAGATTTTATAATTTGTTTGTTAGTGTATCTGTATATAGTTGCATTTCACGAGGTATTTTATCTTAAACTAGATTATGACCCGCGTAAAACGCGAGGAACGTATAAAAAATATATTAAAAGTTATAAAAAACCGCTAAAATAAATAAATAAATAAATAAATATAAAGTAACATAAAAAGAGTTCGTTTTATTGGTTATATTGAAATGTCTAAAAAATACAACGAAATGCATGAATATTTATAATCGTTGAATGACCTCTTTAAAGATAACATTTTTTGTTTTATTAGTTGGATGACATTTCTCGTCACATAAGTTGTATTTTTAGTTGGATTATCTGTCATTTTTCATTTTCATTTAAGTTTTTTTTAAGAATTAAACGAAATGAAAAACAACATAATTTCATTGTATGAAAAAAATAGAAGTCTAAGGCTATAATTGATATAAAACCCAACAATGATAGTTCATAACATTGACCTAACTCATATAATTTTTTAGAAGTTATTTTTAGAAACTGATTAATTGATTAATTTTTATATAATTAGAGAAATTTCAATTAAATGATTGGTCCATATTTGTTTTTCGTTCAACAATTCCTTTTCTTTTGAGTCAGTAAATTCTTTCCAAAAATCTAATTCAAGAACCAAACATCGTAAAACCAAATTACTTAGGGAAGCTTCTTGACTTTAGTTAGATTTTTATAAATGTGGAGACTAAGATGATTTTTGCAATTGTCTAATGTTAAAACATGGTGTCATATTTAACATGTTTCCTTTTAGAAATTAGTTTTTTAAGAAAATATTTTTTTTGGCAAATAGTTATTTGAGAAAACATGTCCTACCGAAAATTACGTGTAACACATAAAAAATATTATTTTTATTAAGCAACAGACACATATAGTTATATAAGCGGCAACAATAAATAATTCTCTTTTGAAAAATATCATATTTCAAAAAACACAACATATAGAAAAATATGAATTTTCCGTTAAGCTATCTATAATATATGTACACAATTATGTTTAGCATTTGTTACGATGTGTGTTTAGAATCTATTGATTGAATGTGAACAAATTAAAAGAGTATACATAACTAAAATTTTACCTGTTATATAAAATAGGTTATATAGATTATAACAAACTGATATAAGTACTTTGCTTTGGGGTTAAAAATTATAAATATGTTGGCATTTTATGTTAGAAAAATGATAGTACTTTGCAATTATAGATAAATAAGTAAATTGCTATATTTTAGTAGATCGCTTCAAGTAGTAGGTTGTTATAAGTACTATTCCATATTTCCAAAAAGTTCCACATAAATAACACAATATATGAAAAACCATTAAGTTCAACAAAATCATAAAAGTTAAAAACTTATGGTCACTTCTAAAAACCAATAAGTTCCACAAAACGCTAAAGTCAAAAATTTGTTATGGCATTCTACTTGAAGTAGCATGGGATTAATTTTATATGAAATCTAGAAACATAAAGTACACATAACCAGATTCAAGAATCAAGATAAATTGTAATTGTTGATTACTTTTATTTGGATACTGTGACAACCCGGAACTGTCATCTTGTATACCTAGTCAACTCAACCAATGTTAAACCCGTATCCGTTGTCTTCTAACATCGTTTAAGGGTTCATATAAGCGTTCTAAGCTTGAGTACAACCGAGATCGAGATTAGGAATGAGTCAGCAAGTCGTAAAGTGACAAAATCAGGCCATACACCCCCTTTTGGAGGAGTGTGCGGCCGCACACATGGGTGTACGGCCCTACACACCCCTCAGGACCACACACCCACCCCTATATAAAGGGTAGAACGCTTTCCCTTCATTCTTTTCACTCCTTGGCTGCACACTACACCATTCTCTCAAGTTCTTCAACCGTGAACCCTCCAAAGCTTCAAGAACGTGAGTAATTCATCCTCTAACTTGATATCCTTGAAAGACCACTATATCTAACCCTTGAGACTACAATATTCGTCATATTCTTCATGTTTAGAAGAGAGTGCGGCCGCACACCCTCAAGAGGTTGGTCGTACACTCCTAAAAGACCCTCCAAAGTGAGAATTTGACCCCCATCTTCAAGTTGGACATGACCCTAGCCTTATTACATCTTAAAATCGACATTTTGGGCATATGCATGAAAGGTGTACGGCCACACACCCTGTGTACGGCCGCACACACACCCTAGGGCCGCAAACCCACTTCCATGGCCCATATTGACCTCAAACTTGCACCACAACTAAGCATGGAACTAGAACACTTCATGGGTGCAAGTATGAACCTTGAAAACACCTCAAAGACACCTTCCATCATGAGTGTACGGCCGCACACCCCATGGGCCGCACACCTATGGCCGCACACACCTTTAAGGTGGCCATACACCATCCTTACTCAATCCTATAAGGTTCTAACACTTAGTGCAAGTAGTTCCAAGTCCCTAGAGTGGTTCCCCATCATATCTAGTAGAGAAATACCTTCATTTGACTCCTTTATGTGTCATTACATGTTAATTAGGATCAAATCATGTTCAAGGTTTCACTTGACACTCAGCCTCCGTGTCGATCGTTTGTTCAAACCACTTGTTCGAGGTGAGTTCATACCCCTACGCTTTTCCGAGTGTTTCATGTTTTCAGGGGGGGGAATACAAGCAAAAGCACAAGAAATCTTGGGCTCAAAATATATTATTTTTTTAAAGATAATTATATTTTTAATATACTTTGAACATGGAAAACAATTTTACCAAATGGGTTAAGAAATCAACTCGCAGAAACAGTTTTCAAAACTAAGGCAATGAACTTATGAATCATGAAGTAAAAGATATCATTTTATAAAGGATTCATGTTAATTACAAAAAGGGTTTTCAGCATTATTACTTGTAAATTTTTTAGTCTATGTTGGAGACACGTCCTTGGTAACACTCACCACCGAAACAGAGTATAGGTCTAGCACTTATGACCAGAATCTCTTGTAGGGAGAGCGTGACTGTTGTGTATAGATCTATACGGGACTGACTATCCCGCACCTCGCTGCTAGCTACAATGGGACCGACAGGTCTACGGGTGACAAAGTCATAAAAGATACTGGTGCCCGATTCGCGCCATATCAAGTTAAATTATGGTTATAAAACTCACAATGTAGATAACAACGATTTACTTACGTAATAATGGATCGAGTGAACTAACCTCAGAGTAATAACCAATTGATTACTAGAGGGTATTAATAATACCTTCAGGATTTAGTTCACCACGTTTTTAATAGTTTTATTTATGTAATAAGGCTAATATACCTCACTGGGAGTAACCATGCTTTTTCAAAGGAAACTACGTTTAACGATATAAGTCTGGTAGATACTTGTACACTTCATTATAGAACGAATAACCAACAACCTACTTTTAGGGAAAATATAGGATTTTCGCAGGATAACACGGTATTTTTCATAAACGGATGGTTTAGCATTGAATTAATGGATATTCATATTCATTCCATGACTCCTTGGATTGTACGTATCTGTATGAATCTGGAAGTCATGGAAGGAATGAGTTTCAAACATGCTTTTCATAAGAAAATATGGGATTTTCTTGAGGAACACTTTTCAAAAGGATCAAAGAACATTTTCCACCAAAACTAAATGCTTATGATCTCACCAGCTTTATGATGATATTCTTTCAAAACTGCTTGTATTCTCAGGGATTTTAGTAGACAGGTACTTTTAGGAGATTGGAGAAGTCGGAGTGTTAGAGTCACGTCTTTCGATTTTACTTTTGATATGAACAAAACTATATATTAATACAATGTAAACCTTTTTCATATATGTATCCAATGTCTGGTTGTGTTTACTATGCTTGCTATGATACAATTGTTGTGATACTACGCATGACGTCCTCCGCCCCAGAACGATTCCGCCGTTCTTGTTTTTAAGTGTGACAAATTGGTATCAGAGCTATTGTTTATAGTGAACTAAGTATACCGAACCTTACATGGTATACAACTATAAACACTAAGGGGCCTATGTGCTCTAAACTAAAAGTATAGTTTCAAAATATAAGTATTTTTATAAAAAGTATACAAGTATACCTAAGTACCTGAATCAGTGTTATAAGTGGAACAAAACAAAAGTATTTGGATGTTGGACATCGCGGTTAAACCTGGGCAGTTATGTAATCATGTCTAGGGTCAATATAGCCTGATCAACTATATTCATTCGAGACATGATCAACATGTGCTTGGGAGTGATTGTGGTGTTGCAGCAAGCCTAAAACTTACCTAGATACCATAAGAGTTCTAGAATCAAACATAAGGGTTAAAATACTATAGGAGTATTTTAGGATGCTAAAACGACCGAACTGGAAACTTACCCAAGAATCCATTCTTCAAGAATCAATCATGTAGCTATAATACATTGGAAGTATTATTAGAGTCGATGCCTATTAACTATCCCTTTGCCATCACCTCGCGTAGATATCATG